TGTAAATTGTCACTGGATTTCCTCTACGAAATACGAATCTCTTTAGTGTTAGTAAAAATGCTTCAGCTTTTGTAGACGTGCACACAAATAGTAAAAGGTAACTTTTAAGTAAGGGGTACTCGTCTTAAACGAAAAAATGACCGCCAATGTCTACGCCAACTTTGAAAAATGGCCGAGATGGTTACACAGTTACGTTATGTGGAAGGTTCTTAAAGAATTTCTCTTACTCTTCAAGTAAAACTGAATAAGCGATTTCTGTATCTTCATACAACACCCTGTATGTGGTAGCAGAAATAAATCACTTTATCATTTATTCATCTCTATATTCCGATAACCAGTTTGATTCATTAACAGCATTTTTTAAAATTTGCTCGTCATATTAAAGGCAAACGAACCTAATCAATTTCAAATAAACAAGATAGATATGCAATTTTATTATTAAAAAAAAAAAAAAAATTTAATTGAAGCATCAGATCTGGATACGTGACTTTTACACCAAAACACGGGATACATTTTTTCATAAACATCATTAACTAATTGCGCTGCTATTAATTTTTGATAGAATCAGGGAATATTGGTGGGTATCCACTTTTATTTATCAGGATGGGATTAGGAAAATTGGCCCAGTTTTTCTCTTTTAATAAATTAATTAGGATATTAAAATCACATAATTGTTTTAAATTATATATTTTTTTTTTCTCCTACATAATTGATCAGATATATTTTTAATCTTAGACTTTTCTGATGTGAACTACATATTTTTAACACTTTTATTATGAAGAACTACATATTTAACCCGCTTTTTTGTAAACGTATGAAACACAATCGTTAAAACTGTCACTATTAATGACATTTATACAAAAGTGTTTTATTATTATGATTTAAAGAAGTCTATTTTTTATATAAGTACTTTTACCCTTATCTGCCCACTTTTTTTTGAGTTATTATATCAAATCAAGAAAGATATTTTTTTCCTAATGCCAACTCATTTTTCTAGTAGATCCGTTATCATCGTACATTTCTTTCCATCATTCTTGTGAAGCATAACAAATTCAGGTCCGCCATTCTTTGATTCGAAATGCGAGATTGATGATGCAATAATGGACTGACTGACTATCATAGCGTTACATCAGAAGATGAATCGCGTAAGGATTAACTTTTGAGAATGCTCAAAGATTGAATAAGTCTGACGGCTAATGAGGGCAGTTTGTATAAAGATTAAATAAAAAAATGTTTATTTATGTATATATTATAAATTTGATTAATGAGATCACTATCGAGTTTTTTTAGTTAGAATAGAATCAGCTTTTTAAATAATGCCTTGTATATAGAATTTCTAAATAGTTAAAATTACAAAATATGAGTTGGGGAGAAAATAATATATTTGACTTACAAATCGTACAGGTTTATTTAATTACATTTAAATTTAGGCTTAAAATGATTAAGTTTGAAATATATCATTAAAAAATAAATTTATATTTGTATTAAAATGTATTCTTTTAGTCGCACAGTGATATGATGAGTGTATCCAATACAAGATCTTTATATTTATTTACATATGTCTTCCTGTTATCAAATGTCAATATTTTTCTTTGCCGGACGGAAACTTGCACAGTTTATATAATTCAAATTTAACAAAAAAAAGGAGAATTATTCCAAATCCTCACAATATATTGATGAAGTGGAGATTCTCGAAGAGAAAAAAATCCAAAAATGTGCCTAAGAGATACTCGTAAACAACAGCCCATAAGTAATTGCCTGAGACGCCAAACTGTTGGCAACGTTCCACCTCTTGGAGAGTTCCCAGAGCTGCTAAGCAGAGACAAAATCCTGTTCCTACTCGTCCCATACAGCCCTCCTGCAATATTAGAGGCCAACTCAACAACCACAGATGCCAGAAAATTACTTTCAAGCACTTAATAACGAAATAAGAGAACTTAACAGCCTAGTAAACCTAAAAGAATTAGCGAAAGCAGTGAAAGATGTTGAATGCCTTACAAGTTTAGGGTAGCTTTGGAAACCACAAAAAGCATTTGATACCATCTTGACCAGCGGGTTGTTATACAAAATGATTGTGAATGACTATCCTGAGCACATTATAAAAATAATTTACTCAAACTTAAAAGATATGAAGTTCTACTTGAAAATATAGAAACAAGGACTGGACCATACAGAGCTGATACCGGAGTACCCCAGGGATCATTAATTTCGCCGCATTCGTACTTTATTTTCACCAATAACATGCCAATGGGTCAAAATGGGGTACAAGTAACGTTGTACGCTGACGACACTTGTGTTTATAACACTTCAAAATCTGCAGAAATCGCCACTAGGAGATTGGACATCCACATCAATAGAACGTTGATCCCCTATCTAGACAACAATAAGATAAAAAGTGCTGCTCTGAAAACTGAAAAAGCGCTGTTTTCCCAGAGAAAAGCTGACGAAATTAAGGGAAATTTAAAAATCCAGGGTATATCTTGGTTTTAATTTACATAGGAGATTGACGTTCAAAGGGCACATTAGCGATTTCCTAATGCATTTCCACTTCCAGAGATGACAATCTAGGGTTAAACCTATTTGATTTTTTAGCCCATCTGGTGTAAGTTTAAATGTAAATTACTTTTCTTGCGTAATGGTACCTAGAGAAACTTAGCTACTCTAAACATAATTAAAAATAAACATAATAAAAACCTTTTGACAGTTTAATGACGAACGTTTTAAAATAGCGCCGAAAAGCTCTTCTACAACTAGAGTTTCCCAGAAATAATTTGCATGAATAACTAACTCTCATTAATATCTTCATACACGTTTACTCATAATTTGTTGTGTACTGGTCATATTTAATTCATGCATTGCTAAACTAACGCTCAAAATTAATTTGGAGGTAAATAACAAAACTGGTATGGAAACAATAATAATTGTTCCAAGATTGATCGAAATACTTATGGTATTTACAAAGTTACACTGAAAAAAAAGTAGTATATGGGTACGAAAAATATCAGTTTTTAAATATAAATATGTATGTATGTATGTATGTATTAGTTTTTGGTGAACATAAAAGCAAATTTGAAAGTGCAATAAATGCTGCTAGATAATTAGTTGACTTTTAAATCTTACCTATCAAAATATATAGAATCTAATAATTCTATTCATCTATTCATTCTATTTATCTACATCCATTAAAATTTTGCTGCATGATTTTTTGGTTCTTAGTTATTTTAATTAGGATGATAGCGTGTATAACCCCTGTTATATATTACTAAAAATCGTATTTAAAGAGTACAAAGATTTATGGAATACATTTTTTTAAGAGAATGATAAATTAGGTGATACCAAAGGTTGTATATTATGGCACGTGACATAATACTGTATATGAATACACTGTTCACAAAATTAGAAACTTAAACATCTCAAGAAGAAATAGAATAATAACAAATAACACAAAACACAAAAACACTTTATTCTGAAGAAGAAATGCCAATATAGCATATATCAAAAACTGGATCTGATATACTAAATCCTGATAGACATTATGGATTGTACATCTAAAAAACACCTAAAAACAATGTCTGTTGAGTTACATAATTTCACTATATTTTACTTTAAAATCATATATCTATCTTCTTTAATATTAATGTCATTTCTTTATTTCTCAAGCATCATAATATGTGACATATACATATTATTATTATTGTGTTTTGATAGAGTAACACAAATCTAGATTCTACCGCAGCAAAACAAATACATATTGTACTCCTGTTTCAGTGCCTTTGTTGTATGACAATATTGAGTAATGATGAGTTTTTGTTGGTGTAAGTCTGCTATTAATTTTCTATTGTATCAAAAAATGAGCAACCCCTCTTTTTATATGAAAATCCATTTCCATCACTAGCTGCCGCTAATAGTATATTGGAATAAATGATGGCAAAATATTACGTGAAAAAATGTTACTTCGAAGACAAAAATAATTCTGAATATTAAAAGCAAAGTTTGATCTAAAGTAATTCATATAATAGCACATAATATAATTAATTATTAAAGATTAAACGACTTACCTGTAAGAAAGTTCAATCTGAATTATACGAGTAACCACGTCTGAGTAGACCAAGAACAATTTGTAGATGTTTAAAAATACAAGTTTTTGTTTTGGAAAAAAAAATGTATTTTCCAAATACATTGAAAATAACACAATCCAAACAGTAATTAATAATTAGAATTAACAAAAATAAATTACAAACAAATGAAATATTCTAATTATTCCCTTCTATAGAAAGTTTCTTGCATAAGAATGGTCGATGGTAAAATCTGGAGAAGACGGTGGACTTATTAGTCCAGCCCGCGGCGGCTCTAATCTGCTCAATACTCACTCCATTACGTAAAGCTGCTGACGTAGACGCATGTCTTGTGGAGTAAGCTGAAAAAAACTGAAGTATCTATGCCGCTTTTTGTTAGAATTGACTTTATCCAACGAGATATTGTTTGACACGTAGCTTTATGAAGAGGCCTTTTAAAAGTTAAGGATAGATAATCACAGCCTTCTCTATGTTTCCGGGTAATAAAAATATAATGTTCGAGCGTTCTAGCCACACATAGTTCAGGTTTTTCTTGAAATGTCGAAAAAGTAATGAGTACAAACGTTTTTAACATATCTATTGTTATGGTATAAACTTCATCACATTTATTAATATTTGAAATTTTAATGGCAGCCAAAGACTGAACTGTGTGTGACGAAACTAATGCTAATAACGTTACTATTTTACAAGAAAGCTCTTGAATACTTATATTATTCAATGGGTACAATGTAGCCAGATATTGTAACACAATTTGTGGGTCGCAAGTTCTAGTATAATTGGGAAAAGCAGGCCCTTCTCGAAATATACCTTTCATAAATCTACTCAATAAATTTTGCTCATTATTTATTGAAAATATTAGGTTAATTTAATTTTGTACTTTGATGAACATCGAGGTTTACTTCTATAAATTTATTTTTGTTCTAGTGCCGACCCACAATTCCAGTCTTCAGTAATCAATACCAACGTCATAGTTTCTAGCAACGGAGAAGTAGTATGGCTCAGTCATGGTATCTATCGATCCTCGTGCGACATAAACGTCGAATATTTTCCATTTGATCTGCAAAGCTGTTACATGAAGTGGGCGTCATGGACATATGATGGGTACCAGGTTAGTTGACACATTTTTATGATATACCTACATGAATTGGTTGTGAGAAAGTCCTGTATCAATTTTTATACTGTGCCGCTATACTAAAAAGTTTGCATCACGTTCACAGAACAATTGACTGACGAAATTATACCTCGTTTTCAATTACCTACAGGAAAATTTACGAAAATGCATTTTTCCTCTCCATCAACTTTATTTAACAAAACGTACAATTTACCTAGGGGAAAATGTCACAATTGTAAAGTGTTTCGTAACAAAAACGTGTCCCAAATACGTATATAAAACCTTCCTGAATACCGATGAGAAAAAAGATAAAAAGAAAAAAGTTTCGTATTTTACCCACTAGGTACGTATTTACGAACTTTCCTGGAGGCGGGACTTTAAATTAAAATATATTCCTTTGAAATACCTAACCGGAAAGACTAGCTTTAATGGTTTTAACAGCCAATCGTGGGTACAAACAATAAACAAACAAGGATAAGTTACATAACAAACGAAATAAATGGCGAGGGGTCAAGTTTTAAAGTACATTGTTTGTTTACCTTATTTCTGCTTGATATTTTTTTGTGATATAAGTTTTTAATTTAACCAAACAATGCCTTATTATAGAATGTTATGTAGAACGTGGTCGGAATAAAACGAATAACATGAGTCTGAAATATTCTCAAAGGTAAAAGCCTTTTATAAAATACAAATTTTCTCCTATTTTAGATATGAATATTAGACTGGGCCGAAATAAGAATATTTTTTAAAAAATATAAAAATTAGGTTGACAATACCTAGAAAAAATTACGTTTTTATGTGCTTACTTTTAACATAAATTTAAGTTCTGAAGCTAAGTTAGTTTCTTTTGATGTTATCAATTTATTCACTAATGTTCCCAGATAGGAAACCTTTCCTATTATCAAGGACCTTCTTACTAAAATTAACTTCAACCTTCATTCTATCAATATTATCTTGGATTTACTCAAACTCTGTCTTGACCAAGATTTCTTTATTTTTGACTACCCTGCAAACAACATGATTTTTGAAATTAACTCCCTATCGAGGTGCACCCCAAGATATTTGACTCTATGCTTCGTTTCGATTACCTGATCCTTTATTTTTTATCTATTTAAGATTCTCCTAGAGTTTTCTGACCTTTTTTTGGTGAGAATCGGGCTCTCGGTTTTTGAAGCATTCAATCTCATATTGTTCGTATCAAGGTAGGGTCCTATTAATATTGATATCAAGCCTCCTGTTTGCAATTTCAGCTAGCTCTGATGTTTTTCTACACACAGGGACATAATTGTGTACAGATGCGGCGAAAGTACCGAATCCTGAGGTACCCCCGCCATTGATTTAAATTGTCCTGTTATAGTTTTGTTGATTTTAATGTAAAAAATTATGTCCTGATTGAATCGTTTTTACAATTTAAATAGGAAATTCATTTGTAAACATTTTGTAGATAAGCCCACAGGTCCAGAGTCTATCGAATGCCTTATTTGTGTCTAAAACGACCAGTACGGTTAGTTTTTGATTATTAAAAGCTTCTTTAGTTTGATGAGTTATTCTTATAACTTGTGCAATCGTACCATAGCCTTCGCGAAAACCGTACTGTTCTTGTGGGATTATTTGTTGGTCCTGTTCAATGTTACGTAGTTTATTAAGAATTATAATGTCTATTGCTTTAGTTTTCGTGGTAAGAAGGGATATAGGACGATAGCTCTCTATATTCTTCATGTTTTTACCAGTTTTTCTTAAACTTGTCTTATAGTATTGGAGTTTAAGAATCGTGTTAATTACGTAATTTAGTTGCACGACTGTTTTCCTAGTAATGTTTTTAACTATAAGTCCAGTAATTTGATCCGGACCCGGTGCTTTTCTGTTGTGTAGCCGCTTTAACCTCGCTAGGTTTGACCAGCTGATTGGTCAGAAAGTTTTAACGTGAGAGGAGTTTAATATCCTTGACCACGTCCTCTATAATTTGTTGTTCTTTATTATTCTGGATGTTTTGAAAAATATGTTTTGTAGTTTAATAAATTCGCCAACTTTCATTTTTTCGGTCCATCCTAACCTACATACATAATAAGTATCAGGAATGAATTTCAACATTAAAAGTATGCAGTTTGGGACTTTTTATTGATACAATCTGTAATTTTATAGTTCTTTTTTTTTTTTTTAATATATTTGCAAGGATTACCATTGTCGATGCCTATATTATGCATCTGATTTATAATTTATCATAGTTAATGCACTTCTGCACAGTACTTCTTCCACTCGGGATTTCAGAAAACTTCCACCTGTTATAGAAATCTCCAATGGATATGAAAGAAATAAGAAATGAAATGAGAAAAATACAACTTTATTCCTGTAAAATTTCATATTATTATGATTTTATGTTCAGATTGTGTATTTTAAAATCATTATAGATTTTGGTAAAATGGCATTTTTATCTTAGATACAATAAAATGTTTAAACCTTTGATGTTTAATATTCAATAATTGACAACCTATTTAGTGTATAGAGTTATATGAATCCATTATTAAAGAACATTTTTTTTGAATTGTTATAATTTTATCAAAGTTGATATAAATTTGAACAGAATTAAGTAGAATCAGAATAAGAAACAAAGTAGTACGTAATAGTAAAATGAGATTAGCAATAAATTAAACAAACTATTTAGAGAAGAATCCAAATAATTATATATTTAAAGAGAGGATCAAAAATGGAGGTCAAATTAAAAGTAAAAGAGTTTGTAAATGTGTTGAGAAAACAAAGTAAGACCAGATAAAAGAAAATAAGAAAAATTAAAACATAACTGTTAAATAAATTAAAGATTGAGAAACGAAATATTTAAAAACAAAAATAAAACTAATTTATTATAAAAAGAAAAGGAGATAATAAAGTAGAAAGTTAGATGTGATGTTCTTTCGATTGAAATATTGAAATGAGGCTACCAAATTTTTTTGAGACTATTTATACTCATTAATTTTTAATTTTACTTCATTACTTTTCAATAAATTATTTCAAACCCCTATAAGAAGTCGTGAATTTTATAAATCACTTAAAACATCAGCGCGTCTGTGGTGCTTTTTAAACCTCAATTAATATTATTTTTTCTTCTTATATTCCATAATCCACAGTAAATATTTTATATCATTCCTTTTCTCAATGAACCTCAATATAATAGTTTAAAATTTTTTTGTAAAAGATTCACAATAAAAGTACTGAGAAAATTAATTCCTAAATCCTAAATCCTAAATCTCTATCCGGATATTTTATTCGAAAATCGTATACTGAACTTTCAGAAACATCATCTTTTAGTGAAACCCAACTAAAGTGTCTTTTCGTGTTTAGAGAAGTATCGAAACATTCTTTAAGAATCAGTTGCAGGGGTTGATAATAGGGATGTATTGAATTCATTGTTAGTTGTTGGTGTTTTAAGCTCTAAAGGGTAAATAAAATTTTATAAAATTGTGCGTTTATAAAAGTTTGTTTTTTTTTAATAATTTTTACCTAATAAAATTTATTGATATAGCCGCCATTTTTATAGGTGACAGAAAATTTTCAATATACGCTTCTTATTCAAAAATATGAGGATTTCCATTTCAAAATAAAAATAAATTAAGATTGTTATTTCTCTAGTAATGTATTATTTTATAAGAACAGTTGTATTTTTTGCCTGATCATAGCTAGGATAGCCAAAACTATAGTCTATATTTATGTATGAGAGAGTAATAAAACAGCATTTCTAATGCAAAACTGAGTACGGTCATTTTAAATATTTTTACAGAATAATCTAAATATTTCCTAAAATTGTAATAAATGTACCTGAGCTATTAAAAGTTTTGGTTCTTTTATTGGTCCTTTATAAACATAAGCTATACAGAACAATAGAAAAAGGTTTGGACAGTCCAAAAGCCCTGTGTATTAAAGATTACATAGCCGTATCTTAAGATTATTTTTAATAAATACCTATTTGCCAATTTTGTTTTATTTTAATTCCAAGAATTTCTTACAGTAATCGAATTATAAGTAGATAAATACCTTCCCAACAAATTTCACCGAAAATGCGATCATAGGTTTTCCATTTAGTAAGGAGGTCCAAATTGATCATGGAAAATTTGGAAGGGCCGCGTAAACGACAAAAAATCGGTCCTTTAATAGTTAATGAAAAAACATTAATATTTAATTGTTTTAAATCATTTACAGACAAACATTTATGTAAAAGTGTTGATGACACAGTGTAATTAGTTACTAATACGCTTGGTGTTGGGAAATCTACGATTTACAGAGTTGTTAAAGAAGAGAAATGTGGCGAGTTTCAAACAGCACGTAAAGCACCAGGAAAACCAAAATTTCAATTAGAAAATCTTTTGAAAGAAAGACTTCGAAGAAAAGTGCATGCGTTCTTCTTTAGGAAAGAATTTCCGACAGTAGACAAAGTTCTTGCCACGGCTCGAGATGATAAGGATTACCCTGAAATGAGTCGAAGCACACTATGGAAACTTTTAAAAGAAATAGGTTTTCTATGGAAAAAGCATTCCAGAAAGTCTATTTTAATAGAAAGAAGCGATATTGTAGTATGGAGAAGAAATTATCTAAGGACTATAAAAGAAATGAGAAACCAAAGAAGAAATATATTTTATTTAGATGAAACATAGATCAACGAGGGACATAAACCAAATAAATTTTGGCAATATGAAACTGTTACAAGTCAAAGACAGGCTTTTTTAAATAATTTATCTACTGGTTTAAATCCACCATCAGGAAAGAGGCGCAGACTAATAATAGTACACATCGGTAGTTCAAACGGTTTTGTTAAAGGTGGTTCATTGACTTTTGAATCTACTCGTACCGGTGACTACCATGAGGACATGAATGCTGATGCCTTTAAAGAGTGGTTCGAACAAATTATAGATCTTCTTCCTCAGAACTGTATAATAGTAATGGATAATGCAAGTTATCACTCGAGACTTATAGAAAAAATGCCCACAACCAAGTGGTTAAAAAAAGAT